TTTTTTTTTTTTTTTTTTTTTTTTTTTCGAAAGCTGCCTTCTCCTCATCGGGGGGCAGCCATATATTTTTCTCTCACCTCACATATCTTTCTTTTAAAAACTGGCGTTCTGCCATGTCATCATGGAACATATCTTTCTTTTCATTACCTGCCACTACTCCTAAGGCTATTCAGGGGACCCCTGCAAGCATAGCTTTCTACCTCTCTTCTCTCGGTCGTTGGAGAGGGGTAAGGGCATGTTTGCCCCTTGCCCTAGCGTTTTAGGGTGCAGGGTTGGGGCCGCCGGTGGGGGGCCGGCTAACACAAGAACCGAGCATTTTGCCGGTAACTGTGCCTCTCTATTCATCTTCCCCCACCCCCATCCAGTAACAACAGAACTGTCTAAAGCCAACACTCTCCCACACACCACACCCAACCCACTCACACACGCACTCACACATGTGTTGGCTGAAGACCTTACTGATACCGACTGGGAGGATCCAGCTGACTATCTCAGTTGGTTGGCACCAAGAGTGCTACAGGCGGCCATGGGGTTTGAACCCACAACCTCCTGAATGCCACTTGCGTGCCTAACCAATTGAGCTAGGCCGCTGGATGCATCATGGCTTTCAGGTGAAGACACTAGCCTTGAAAAAAAAAAAAAAAAAAAAAATTACATCAACGGTTCACCCACCGAAGAGGCACGAATAGCACTGGGATGGTCACCCCCACCAATGATGATGCCGATTCGGTGGGAGAAGGGTTATACACACCTTGAACCGTTGATCTACGGGTTTTTTTTTTTTTTCTTTCTTTTTTTACGAGTTCTTGATCTGAAGAAGGCGGGGTATAGCTTTTTTGGTTTTGGTTGTTCTTCTTCTGAATGTATTTGACTGCTATTACGGCATGAGTTGGATGAATCTGACCGCAATCACGTCCAGAGCTCAGTAGAAAGAGTCCTAGTAGAGTGAGTATGCCCTCAGAGGTCAGGAAGGCCCCACCAATGCCCTGATGTCAAAGGGTACAGTCTTTACCCCCCTTCTACTTTCGTTGACCCTTTCGTAACCCCTTTCTACCTTTATTTTATTTATTTTTTTGGCCTTTTCTGACCCTTTTTTTTTTTACGTCTTTCGACTTTTTCTAACTTTTCTGACCAAAAAAAATGTCGAACAAGGACACACTAGGGTCAACAAAGATTAAAAAAGGGGGAAAAAGTGTCAAAATAGGTCAGGTCAAAATAGGTCAAAAATAGGTCAAAATAGGTCCAAAAACAGGTCAAAATAGGTCCAAAACAGGTCAAAATAGGTCCCAAAACAGGTCAAAATAGGTCCAAAATATGTCAGATTAGGTCAGAATAGGTCCAAAAACAGATCCAAAAATTGGTCCAAATTAGGTCCAAAAATAGGTCCAAAAATAGGTCGAAATTAGGTCCAAAAAATAGGTCCAAAAATAGGTCCGAAAATAGGTCAAAAAATAGGTCCAAAAACAGAATCCCACCAGAGGTCAAATACCACCGCTAAGATTCTCTCAAGGTGAAAAGAAGAAGAAGAAGAAGAAGAAGAAGATCCTATTTTCGACTTTATAGTTTTGTCGGAATGAACAGGCACGCAGGTATTGACTAGGTCACTGTCGTAGGGACAGAAATGCACCGAGACAGACAGCCTGTCTAAGTTCTTGATGATAGATAGTAAGGGCTCACGGGAAATAAAATAATGGTAGACGGTCAAATGCGAAAGAAAAGGAGGGAAAAACACTATCTTTACAACAACCCAAGTACAAGTAAACATGAATGACATATATGTATCGTCACAAAGTTATCAGAGCGCAAAAGCGAAAAAAAGAAGAAAAATAGTAAATATATATATCCTCAATATTTACGATAGGGTTCAGCCTCCTGATGAGTCGCTGAAACTCCGACGAAACAGCTTGCCACAGCCCTCCCACGTGGATGTAGGTTGAGCGGCGGCTGCCCCCACCCCCGTGTGTCATATCGACCCACTTGCACACAGCCAAAGGGCAAAGAGGCCAAGAAGAGAGGAAGGGAACTACAGCCAAATACAACAAAACAGGGGGCACCACTAAGCAACAGCACACAAACCGGATCCTAGATGACAAGCCCCACATGCAAGCACCGCCCCCCCAGTCCTACACAGGCCAATCGACGGGACAACACCACCCAGGACAAACCACTCTTGTCTGCAAAAAAAAGTAATCCCAGATACATATCTTATACAGCAGACCGCCTTCTGCGACATCAAGAAGTTGGCATTCCCATAACCATTTTCTTACTGGGACCAAAAAACACATAAAAACCAATCCCAGATGAATGATTCCCACATAACACCACCGCCCCCCCCTCACACAGGCCGAACAACGGGAAGCCACCAACTAGGACGCCAAGGCAATCAAAGAAAACCCCGGATGACTAGTCCCACATGACAGCACCCCTACGCTACGCTGCCGCCGAAATAGACCGAACAACAACGGGACAAAACCAGCCGGGAAGATGAGACAAGGTGACCTAAACAAATTCTTTTTTTTTTTTTTTTTTACCAAAACAAATTCTACGATATCCGAAGTTGATTTAAAAAAACGGAACCATACGGTGTACGTGCGCAAAACGAAATCCCCCCTAAAAAGGGGGAAGAGCAACACGGGAAAACTAGGAAGAAAATATACAGGACGATATATAATAATACTATAGTTAGCCATTGTTGAGAACTGCCCGGTGAACCCTACCGTCTTCCCCCGAACATAACGCACCCTGACATTGAACGTATGCAAGTTATAATTCCGGTCCGGTACAGCCAAGATGATGAGGGTGTGTTGTGTTCGGGGGAAGACGGTAGGTAGAGAGGGGGAGGAAAAGGACAAGAGAAGGGCGAAAAGGACAACACAAGGTCCACGTGGCATCATCTCAACCACCAGGCGGCCTTACTCGATCTGCGTTACACATCTCAGATAAGCCAATCAACGATCCCTCACCAAGACAAAAAAAGGGACAGACTTGCTTAATTAGGTACAACACGTGGACGGGTAAATAAACATAAAAACTTCCGTGTTTCCTGATTTGTCTAGAAAAGAGTACAACAATAGTGTATGATGAGCGGGGGAAAACTGGGGAAGGGAAAAAAGAAACAATACTCCTTTTTTGTTGTGTTTATAGCGAGATTCGTCTAAAACCGATTACAAAAATACGAGGGAAAAAAAAAAAAAAAAAAAAAAA